CCCCAAAACCCCAAAACCCCAAAACCCCAAAACCCCTTAGGTTTTAATTATATTGAAGTATAGTAGGCCTATAATAATTATTGTTCTATTAATTATTTTAATAAAATGAGCAGTAGATTCCCAATTCTGGTAAAATGCATTTTTTCAAAATTAAGAAAACGATTGCAAAGTTCTCTGCCCCTTTTTCAGGTCAACAGAAAGTATTTTTTAGTTCACTTATTCAGGTGTTATTCCTCGCAGGTATTACAATATGTAACTCCAATCCCAAAATCACTTCTATAGCTAGGCCAACAGCCATAATTATTTAATTCTAAGTCTAGAAATCTTCATTTAAAACATTCCTGTATCAAGAAAGCTTCATTAAAGTCTTCAAGCGATCTTATAGCATAAAACCCAAACCATCGAGCCAAAATATCCTCTCTATACATCCCATTAAACCTCTCCACTCTTAAAAATTACCTACCACAACATACCCTTAAAAATGTTATCCAATTACGCCAGCAAGTTCCGAATTCCCCACAAATCTGGCTAAATCTAAACTCTACATTAATAACTCTAAACCCAAATCGAAACAAAGGAGAGAAGCTTTCACCAAAATATTTGTTCCAAAAGTTATTCCGATAAGAATCATTTTTGTACTAAAATTCCGGATTAATTTCTTATTCTACCAAAGTGGTGAAAAATAATAAATCCAGCAACAATTATATAGCAACAGTCAGCTTAATTTTAGGATTAGCTTGCATAACATGGAAGAGATTTATAAGAAAATTTATTAGTGAATAATTATTTTAGAACCATTTCAGGCTGATTTGGACTAGATTTGGAAGATTTAGTGGATTTCTTTTAGGAGTTCAAATGAAGGAACTCTTCGCAAGTCAGACATTATTTTTGTCCCTTCACGGAGAGCGGAAGAGGAACTCTTCAAGTATCTTGTAGCCCTAGTTGGGTTTGCAATATATTTTCTAGGTTCTTTCGAGTTTTGGGTTTTCTGAACCTCCTTATTTCCTCACTCGATTTGAGAATGTTTTAAACTTTTTTGCTGGAGAAGAATTATATTTCCTCTGGCAAAATCAAACAAGTCTTCATCCTTGATCTTTCCCTTATTATTCTTGAGAGTGTTTCAAAACTGTTTAGTATGGTTCAAGGGTCGAAGAGTCTTGCAATCACTTATCTCCTCACTGATTTGCATGTCACTATCATCCCAAATATCTTTAGTCTCTTTACTATAAGTTTTCGAAAGTTTCAGAATGGGTTGCATTTAGAATTAATTATGATTACCGTTCAACTTTTTCTCGCAATAAAGGGGTTTTGGGGTTTTGGGGTTTTGGGGTTTTGGGG